CACAAAATTCTACTTTTTTAAAATTATCCATAATAACACAAGTTTTAAAAAGTGTTTGATATTTGTTATTAATACAATTTTTTTAAATTTTAGACGATTACGAAAATGTAATCAGCTGGGAAATTTGAAGCAATTCCCTTCTATTTTAAGCATATAAAAATATCCAAACATAAATACTTCTACTATTTCCATTCAATAATACTGAATCATACAGTAAGTAATATCCATACACTTATTATTCGTAATATGTATTTTATTTTTGGAAATATATAATCTTTATTTTTCAAATGGTACTTACAGTCAAACTTCGTTAAAATGAACGGTGACATCACGATTTTTTCATATATCCAAGCAATTTTTCATTATCTGCAACAGATCATAGAATTACAGTATAATCAAACCTGAATGACGTGAATAACTCGCAAGCGCAAAAAAAATTATTCTTTATTATTAGTTTGATACACAGATTCATAAGCGATTTCAACAGGTTAAGAGCTTTTGCAACACCACTGTAAACCCATGGAACCAAATTTGTATGTACTATGGAATATTAGAAATAGTTTAACCACGTTACGCATGACGACCGTACATGAACTTCGCGCCAACCACAGCAGACGAAACGATGCATTGGCAATGCCAGGACGCCTCTTCATTCGAGAACCACATAGTACAAGGTTAACCCTCCGCATATCAAGCTCTAAATGCAACGTCGAATACCAAGCGAAGTATACATGTACCCCACTCGAATATTTTGCAAAATTTCTTTGAAATTTGAAATAACTAACGGAACCGTTCACACCAGAGCGTCAATTTTGATTCAGTATTTGGTTTGGGAGTTTTCCTCATCCGATAAATAAAGGCAAAGGGAGCTCGATTTAGAGGGGAGCGAAGACTCCCGAAGGCAGACGGCTTCACGAAACTCGAGCGGCAGCGGAAAAAAAAGCGTCCGACTGAGTTAAAAAATCCGCCGCGTATTAAACGCTGCGAATCCGCTGCCGCGACGCTCGCCTGCCGCGCAGATCTGAACGTGCTCATGAGGCAACACGTAACGCAAAATTTCCGCTGCGGCCATTCCGCGTAGGCTGCGGGTTTTTCGCGCCTGTCTGTGGCCATACCCGCAGCTCTCCGACTTCGAGAAGCGTGCGTCGGTCGAAGCTAAGAAGTAAAAATCTATTACCAAATGATGCATAAAATGCAAAATCCAGGGTATTTATTATAACATAGCTACAAGACGGTTCCTTTGCTCGCTCGTACTTCCTAGAGCGTTTTCCTCGAGTTTCTTCCTCGAACGTCGTAAGTTGAAGCGACCCATGATAGATAGGGGGGGGGGGGCTAGTTCGGTGCACCGAGTCTTGCTCGTTCAGCGCAGCACCAGTTTCCGTCTCGAACCACGTGACCACAAAATGGGCACTAAGTTTGAATACCCAGATCAGACGCTGGCCGCCATGTTGCATGGAGGACTAGAAGTGTTGAGAAACATTTTCAAAGTGGCATAAAGTAACAATTTCCATCAGTGACAAATAAAAAATTACACGAACGGGTAATTGAAATGAAAGATGTGTTTTTTAAGTACATCGTATATCTGTTTCAATTACTTGAAACAAAATGATAAGTTTGGTATCTGGCTAAATTGAAAATTCCCGCTATGGACCTGACGACATGGCTTCGCTTGGCTTCTTCAGCAAGGAAAAGGTGACGTCGTGTCCGATAGCATTGCAAAAGTACACAAGAAATTAACATGAACCATTCAGACTAAAATTCAATTTATTATACAGGCACACGCCTGATTGCATTCAAAAAGCATTGGTGGATCTATGTAAAATAAATCAAGACAATGTTTACACTTAGCACACATAAAAAGGACATTAAGTTTACACACAAAGAAGGCCACAATTGAAGCCAAAAAAGGTACTACATGAAAGCGAATCAATTGTGTAAAAAATATAATTAAATAACAAAAGTTACAAAATTTTATTTTGGAAGATAAGGATCAAAATATGGAACATGGATCATAAGAATGTTATTCTTTCCAAATAAATATTGTTCCTTCTCAATAATGATTTATGTCTGCACTTAAATCTCTTTTCACTTATTGAGTTTGCAGTAGGAATAAAAAAAAAAGAAATTATAATTGCAACAATTACAATAAGTATTTTCCATTAGAACAACAAAGTAAGACAAGATATTAACCTAAACACCGTGCTATTCTTCTCTACAGCATTCCAAACCACCATGCACATTTTAGTTCAAGCCCAATATTGTTTTGTTTGGAAAAAAAGAGAAGAATCCTATTAGTGTTTTCATTGTTAAGTTATTTTCTAACTTCTTTTCTATTCTTTTATATTTGTCTTAAATTATAAAAATAATAAAACACGCACAGGAAATAAGACTACTGAAAAAGCATTAACGAGTCATGAAAATAGTAACCGATAGCAAAATGAAATACAATACTTTCTCTTCTTACGTTAGTAAGAGCAAGAAAGTAAAAAATGACTACGATACCTATGAGTAAATACTATGAAATAAACACTAAACAAAGAAATATTTTCTATATCACACAAACACAAACATCACATAATATTCAAATCGCAAGATACACATCCAAAGTAGAAGCTAGGTAAAATGAGCAGAGAACACTCGAGGTTCACATCTTTACTCTTGGTCACAGCTTCGTTAATCACCTTGTACAATTTACAAAGAAGTGGAGCTGTAACAGGATGTACACTATCGCGAAGTTGTTTATGGCTATGTAATATTATTATATGACAATTTCTCTCTTACTCTTCAACTACCATTCGAAAAATTCGTAAACAAATCAAGCATTAAAATACATATTTTCTAAGCTGCCCGGATGACGCCGCATCCATGGCGAAGGTGCCGACCTTTCGGTCGCCATTCTGCGACCTTCCTCAGGGCGTTTAGCATTACGCCCTGAGGAAGGTCGCAGAATGGCGACAGAAACGTCGGCACCTTCGTCATGGACGAGGCGTCACCCGGATTCTGACATTCAGTGTATTCACGTTTTACAAACTAAATGTACCAACGATTCGCGCAGCGTATTTTAGCCGTAAATAAAATTAATAGTTTATGTTCACGCGAACCAACGGCCACCACGCGAACCAATTTGGAGCTGTTTTAGAGAAAATTTGAAAAATGTCCGGAGGGCTTTAAGTAAACTATCCCCAAATTTTAAAATCAAAATTTCAAACATTTTACACGAACCAGATCAACATGGGTTTCTCCAATTTGGTAAAAATCCTACGTAGGCGCTAATACGGACGGACGGACGGACGGACGGACGGATCGTACAATAGTCGCTCGACGTATTTTAAAGTTTGTGACTTACGGGATTCCAAAAGCTAGGATTTTTTTACCTAAACATGTAAATAAATACACATTGCAGGTTCAATTTGTAAAATTACTCATTTATTACAATTTTATGTGAAATTACAATGTGCATCTACATCAAACATCACTCATTTGACAGAAACAGTTGCTTGATAGTACCTAGGAATATTTCCACATTGAATATCCCTTTTAACCAATCACCAATCTCTCTGCCTGTGTACACAGACATACATACATACATACATACATACATACATATACATACATACATACATACATACATACAAAGTCACATATACCCCGCACGTCAAGGATTTACAAAGTTTCAAAACCAAATCAAAACTGTTCAGTATCCTCACGGCCATTCTACTTATCTGATTTACGCGATTTACACGTGGAACGATGCATCTATCTTGCAGCTTCTACTTCCTTCAAAAAAGCGAGAAAGAGAGTGATTTGCGGGATTTTAAAAATAACAGATTCAATTGTAATTGTATGATATTTATTTATTAACTTATTATAAATTTTTATTTTCAGGAAAGTTCTATTTTTTTAAAAATTTCCAAAAAATCAGGAATTTTAACGAACATGAGACCTGCACCATCCTCTTAAGTGTCCTTTACGTTAACTAAAGTCTCAATTTAATCACAAAATTTTGTGCTATTTAAAAAAATGTTTACAGAAAATAAAAATTGCCTATGTTTGACACAAAATTTCGCACAAAATACTGATATTTTCAAAAAATTGAACTCGACGTTATTTTTAGATATTTCATAAACAAATTACATTCAGAAAAAAATGTTAATTTTCATAATTTTAGTTGTAAGAAGGCGCGGATACAATTTTGAATTTTGGCACTTTCAAATATATATCAACGAACATGAGACCTGCACCACAGTCGTCAATGTTCAATTAATTGACTAGTTCATTAGTCAACAACATTTCATGAAAAACGATGGAGACATTTGTTTTAAATGAGGTTCCATGTTAAGTTCCCCCCAATATTCAAATATCTGTTTCAAATTAATGAGGCCGCGCCTTTGGCCAGATCGATTGGATAATATCAATTTAATATCAATCAGACTACACTATGTGTTAGAGGATTTTCCCCTAAATTTAGCTATTGGATATATCCACTTTTTCGGTACAAGGTCCGGTAATAAAATGTTTTTCTGCCGAGAATTCGTCGCTTTTTCCCGCACCCTAATTTAACTTCCTCTTATTAAGAAGTGTCTTCTTAAAGCGAGAAGTGAAAATTGCTCCTACTAATGATTTGTGGAGTAAATCGGGTAGTGTATACTCAAGAGTAAAATTACCCCCAAGAAGCGTGGTGAAAAGACTACGCGGTACTACGAGAATAACTACTCAAGTGTAAAGCGTATTCTCGAGTTACTACCATATAGTTCACTGGCTGTTGTTGAAAACGGCCTGTAACCTATAATCCGATTGAAATAGGGGCGTCCCACATAATCAGCAGTGACGGTTATTCAATAGGGGGCGGGGGAGGAGGAGCATCAATACGAAAGCCGTAACAAAATTCCGAACTGAATAACCGCGTCGGAAGGTACAAATCGAAGCCTAAGTGGATTACGCCAGCAACGTACTCCTCTCCTATTCCCCCCTCAGCGACGCAGGATCGCGCGAAAGCTCACCTGTGGCAACATGTCCCCAGGGGTTGGTTGGGGAGTTGGCGCAGCCGGGAGCATGCAACAGGTGCGGGAGGTCGCCGGGCTCCCGCGTCGGCGGCGTTCGCGAGTGCGCGCTGCAAGAGGCGATGCGGCGGCCGCAGAGGCAGCCGGCGCATGTGGTAGAGCGCACGCGATGCGGCCTGGTGCGCAGTTGGAGCGCAAATGCCGGCCGCGCGCCTCCCACCACTCGCTCAGCTGCTGCCGCCGCCGCCTCCTACCCTCCTACCCTCCTCCTCCTCCTCCTCCTCCGCCGCCGCCTTCTGATATCGCAACAGGGACACGCGCGCGTCGGCTAGTGGGCAGTTATGAACGCGAGGCGAGAGGTCTGGGAGAGCACGGGAGGGGAATGCACTCCTAGGGCTGCCCGACGCCGACGCCCCCACCCCTCAATCAACGCCCCTGCACGCTCATCATGGCGCAATCAACGCCACCGCAAACGGAAGGGGAGGTAGCGAGTCGATTCTTTTTGTACGAATACGCAGTACGCGTTCAGTTCATGTGTGTAGTATTGTATTCACATACAGAACGTTACGTCCAATTCAGCGCGACTGCCAGCGGCTGATAGTTCTTCCAGATATCAGCTCAGTGCGTGCAGTTAGAGGTTAGAGGTTGATTGACACGAATGATTTATTTTGTGGTGGTGTCGTCACTAAAAGAATATTATAAGAACTGATTCAAGGTAATGAGAATACGTGTTCTCGAGTGTGTGAGTGAGTGACAGTGAAAGTGAGTGTGAGAGTGAGTGAGTGCGAGTGAGTGCGAGTGGGTGAGAGTGAGTGAGCGAGAGTGAGTGAGCGAGAGTGAGTGAGCGAGAGTGAGTGAGCGAGAGTGAGTGAGTGAGAGTGAGAGAGAGTGAGTGAGAGTGAGAGAGTGAGTGAGTGAGAGTGAGTGAGAGTGATTGAGTGAGTGGGAGTGAGTGATTGAGAGTGAGTGGGTGTGAGTGAGTGAGAGAGTGAGTGAGTGAATGAGTGAGAGAGAGTGAGTGAGAGAGAGTGAGTGAGAGAAAGAAAGAGATAATCAAAGGGTTATGAATGTACATATTTCTTAAGAATTTTTAAAGAACTTTTTTTTTTGCATTCAAATAAAATGAACACACTTTTTTCATGCGAACTTGCTACAAAGTTCCGGAACGGCAAAATAAAGACAAATGGCACAGCCCGTAAGTCCTGCAAGTGAGAAATCTCCTTTCGAAGGACGTGCATAAATTGCGTATGCATTCCCCCACTATGCCTAGAGCGGAGTTGGCAGCTAGTCATGGCCGTCATGCGATCTGATGTGATTGGTGGATGAAATTGAGAGCCTGTCCCTCATCTTTATTGTCGCTGTTATCGTAACAGCCTGTCTTGCTCAGAGGAGGTTACGAACAATTTGATCTATTTCCCTCTCTGTAAAATATAATATACAATATCACTTTCACGATACGTTTCTTCAATGTTATATTTATAGCATAAAATGGATCCTTTGTCTCATTCCACCATCAATAAGAGTATCGACTAATACAACATTTTTCCTGTTGAAGTGGAAAAACAAAAACATGCAGCTGAAGATTTATCTCCAACAATAATTGTTTTTACGGTGAAGTCAGATAACGAGTAGCTTCACTTGTCATCTGCGAAACGTTGGCATTTAACCTTAATTTTTAGTTGTGTTTTTAAATATTCACGACCTATGTCGCGCACCTGTTTTCTGAGGGGCTACCAGACACGGAGCATGACGTACAAACAATAATACACACTAATCACTAAATCACTATATCCTCAGTTTGAAATATATAATTCAGTTTGTAATATATTACAAACTCATGATGTACTTGTGTATTCTAAGCAAGTAAGATGTGCCTCACACGTCTCATAAGATGATGTCGCTCTCGTAGACTAAATGACAACTTGTCAAGTATGACGACCTGCCAAGTAGTATTTTTATGTTTTTCACAATATTGATAACAGTTTGGAGTAATGTATGTTGACAACCTGTCGAGTAATATTTAATTTATTTTTCATGTTGAATTCATACAATTGCTTAAAGTTGCTACTTGGTATTAGAGTAGTGCTAGCATCAGACGGTAACTGGCGGACGCGCATGTAAACACAATGGGGAGGGCGCGTTGACGGCAGGAGCGCCTCGCCATTCAGACGGCGTGGATCGACGTGGATCTTAAGACGAACCCCGTACCCCAAGATGGCGGAAGCGCCTCAGACGACGCGGAGCGTTTCTTTAAGAAATGTCTCCTTCCATCCCCTCCCTTGACATGTCCGCACGTGCGTCCAACTCCCAGTGTACAAGTGTTCCCTAAGGGAGCTCTCCGCAGGTCACTTGCGACCATGTCACGGAGCTGTTAGGGACTTTCACTTTGCACTCTGCCGTAATTTCTATCTTATTAAAGACTGTATCTAGAAAGGTGTAATGGTAAATGCACCTAAGTACATATGAAGTATTAAATATGATATTACATATGAAGTAAGAGAAGCAATTAATATTTCTTTCAAACATGTATTGGAGAGAAATATCACCTTTCAAACTTATCTAAATTAGGGTCGCGTCTGGAGCAGGCGCCCTGCTTAACTTAAGGTTTATCTTAAGGTCATGGGTGATAGGGCTCCCCAAACCGCCGTCAACGCTAACACGAGCCAGATGTGGAAACGGGGATGTTTGGGAACTTATGAGACAGAGTTTTCAAGAGGGCAAATGTCCTCTGACATTTGTCATGTACTGTTAGTTTATTGCGTCCAGGACATGCCGAGTTCTGGCGGGGGTGGCGTAATGGCCTCGTAAATCTCCGTTTCCCATATAAGAATCCTCTAGCGTTGATAACGGGCAGACAGCCCAGAGACTTTGCTGTGTCAACTTCACGCTGCTCTGCAGCTCTACTTTTCAATTAAACTTTTCATACTTCATCGGACTTGGTCTCTGTACTTGAAACCTCGCTCACCACCACGCTCCTCCAGGGAACTTAGCTTCCCTGCGAACTCAACATTTTTGCACCCTGTACTGGAAGCATTTGTAATTGCCTGCTATCGCTGCTAGTGGCACAACACCTGCAGCGAAAGGCATTACAAAATAATTGAATTTTCTTTTCTCACATCTCCATTCCATCATACGTACCCCAGTTCTGTTGTCGCCGAGAACTTGGCTTTTCGGGAGCTGGCGTAAAAATACCTATTTGTGACGCCGCCCTCTGTCTTTCTGAGACCAGGGTGGCTGGTGGAGGGCAAGGTTCCAAGTTCATTACAATATCTATTTAATAGGAAAAAGTTAACAATTACTCCATCGGAAATGTGCTGAACGCAATAAAGACACAGTAATATTGAACGAATTGACTGACAAGATAGAGTGACAGAGATACGGGACAGGGTAGATCTGTTCTGTTTGTTTTTTCCAGGCCCTCCAAATGGCCTGTGACGACCAACTATAGCGCGGGAACCTGATAAAGCAAACACGCAAGCACGCACATACGCACACACGTACATACGAGTTATGACACGTGGCGAATGAAGGAGAATATTATACTGGTCTTACATTAGCAATATGTTTCCCCAATATCTTTCAGCAATTTTTCTGCTTTTTGCGGTCGTTTTTACACTAGTAAGAGCAATCAGGTCAAATATATTGCCGAAAGATCTGAGCAAGATCTTGTAAGTAATGTTCTAGCTCACTTTTTCTGACATGGCGAATAGAAGGCAGAGCATTTCACATTATGTACGATTCCACAAATATCCACATTATTTTAATGAATTAAAATAAGAAAAAAATGTGACTGAACAATCAATACGATAAAAAATCTCCTTTATTGAATAAAAAGAACATAGAAATATAATAGTGCATTACCTGTTTAGTTTTAAGAAGAAATATGCATCATTAATTTTTTGGCATTTACTCGCACTTAATGCACTTATCAGCACTTAATGTAAAAAAAAACAATTAGTATGTCACGTTGAAAGTTACGAAAACTGAATTCAGATTCATTTGTAATGATAAATTCACCTACGTACAGCAGTATGAAGTATTGCGTAAGAGAAGTAATGGATATTTTTCTCAAACATGTACGCGAGAGAAATATCGCTTTTCCAAGTTATCTAAATTAAGATCGCGTCAGAAGCAGGCGCTCTGGTGTTTATCTTAAGATCATTTATGAGAGGGCACCCAAAACCGCTGTCAACGCTAACATGCATCCAGATAGTGGAAGCGGGGATGTTTAGGAACTTCTGAGACAGTGATTTCTAAAGGGCAAATGTTCTCAGACAGTAATGTCAGTTTACTGCGTCCAGGACAAGTAGAGTTCTGGTGGGGGTGCCGTAATGGCCTCATAAATTTCTCTGTTGTCTATATAAGGATCCTCTGTCGCTGATAACGGGGAGACAGCCCAGAGACTTTGCTGTGTAAACTTCACGCTGCTCTGCAGCTCTACGTTTTTAATTAAACTTATTTTCATACTCCATCGGACTTGGTCTCTGTGCTTGAAACCTCGCATACCACCACGCTCCTCCAGGGAACTTAGCTTCCCTGCGAACTCAATATTTTTGCATCCTGTACCGTAAGTATTTCTAATTGCCTGCAATCACTGTTATTACTCGCGCAACTTTTCTTGAATGATGACCTTGATCCCCCTCCCTTGTGCAATAAACAGTTGAAGGCAAAAGCTCGCAGCGGGCACTGATGACAACCTTCCGAGCATTAAAACTTCGTTGGCGTGAAACAGAAGCTAATCAAAGCCAGTTGCTTTCATAGTGCAGAACCCCTGTTCAGGTTTATTGTCAATATAGAAATAAATGGCTGAGTCAGGTCCAGGTCCTTCTAGGGAGTCACCTAAAAGTCCCGAAAAAGTTAAGCACAAGATGCAGTTTTGACTTTCATTTCACAGACGATGGCATTACTTAAAATACTCTAGCGGCCGACTTTGTAACTAATACCCCCACTCCACCCGAAATCGTCAATCCATCGTTCAAGAAAAGTTGCCCGAGTAATAGTAGCACAACACCTGCAGCGAAAGACATTACACATTTATATAATTTACACTATTACACAGAAAGTATTCTTTTAAAGTTATTAAACATGCTACTCTAAATATTTTAGAAGAAACAAAATCTGTTTTCGTACACTTCACTTCGATTCAAGTGGGGGCAATATAATATTCCATTTGTAAAACGAGAAATAATTA